ATAGTGTCCTTCTTTGTCTGTTGTAGTAGTCTTTACTTTAAAATCTATTTTGTCTGATATGAGAACTGCTACTCCAGCTTTCTTTTGATTTCCATTTGCATTCAATATCTTTTTCTATCCCCTCACTTTCAATCTGTATGTTTCCCTAGTTCTGAGGTGGGTCTCTTGTAGACAGCATATATACAGGTCTTGTTTTTGTATCCATTCAGCCAGTCTATGTCTTTTGGTTGGAGCATTTAATCCATTTACACTTAAGGTAATTATCAATATGTATGTTCCTATTACCATTTTCTTAATTGTTTTGGGTTTGTTATTGTAGGTCTTTTCCTTCTCTTGTGTTTCCTGCCTAGAGGAGTTCCTTTAGCATTTGTTGTAAAGCTGGTTTGGTGGTGCTGAATTCTCTTAGCTTTTGCTTGTCTGCAAAGGTTTTAATTTCTCTGTTGAATCTGAATGAGATCCTTGCTGGGTAGAGTAATCTTGGTTGTAGGTTTTTCCCTTTCATCACTTTAAGTATGTCCTGCCACTCCCTTCTGGCTTGCAGAGTTTCTGCTGAAAGATCTGCTGTTAACCTTATGGGGATTCCCTTCTATGTTATTTGTTGCTTTTCCCTTGCTGCTTTTAATATTTTTGCTTTGTATTTAATTTTTGATAGTTTGATTCTTATGTGTCTTGGCATGCTTCTCCTGGATTTATCCTGTATGGGACTCTCTGTGCTTCCTGGACTTGATTGACTATTTCCTTTCCCATATTAGGGAAGTTTTCAACTATAATCTCTTCAAATATTTTCTCAGTCCCTTTCTTTTTCTCTTTTTCTTCTGGGACCCCTATAATTCAAATGTTGGTGTGTTTAATGTTTTCCCAGAGGTCTCTGAGACTGTCCTCAATTCTTTTCATTCTTTTTTCTTTATTCTGCTCTGCAGTAGTTATTTCCATTTTTTATCTTCCAGGTCACTTATCTGTTCTTGTGCCTCAGTTATTCTGCTATTGATTCCTTCTAGAGAATTTTTAATTTCATTTATTGTGTTGTTCATCATTGTTTGCTTGCTCTTTAGTTCTTCTAGTTCCTTGTTAAACGTTTCTTGTATTTTTTCCATTCTTTTTCCAAGATTTTGAATCATCTTTACTATCATTGCTTTGAATTCTTTTTCAGGTAGACTGCCTATTTCCTCTTCATTTGTTTGGTCTGGTGGGTTTTTACCTTCCTCTTTCATCTGCTGTGTATTTCTCTGTCTTCTCATTTTGCTTAACTTACTGTGTTTGGGGTCTACTTTTCACAGGCTGCAGCTTCGTAGTTCCCATTGTTTTTGTGTCTGCCCCAAGTGTCTGAGGTTGGTTCAGTGGGTTGTGTAGGCTTCCTGGTGGAGGGGACTGGTGCCTGTGTTCTGGTGGATGAGGCTGGATCTTGTCTTTCTGGTGGGCAGGACTGTGTCCAGTGGTGTGTTTTGGGGTGCCTGTGACCTTTTTATGATTTTAGGCAGCCTCTCTGCTGATGGGTGAGGTTGTGTTCCTGTCTTGCTAGTTGTTTGGCATAGGGTGTCCACCCTGTAGCTTGCTGGTCATTGAGTGGAGCTGGGTCTTAGCATTGAGATTGAGATCTCTGGGAGAGCTTTTGCCATTTGATATTATGTGGAGCCAGGAGGTCTCTGGTGGACCATTGTCCTGAACTCGGCTCTCCCACCTCAGAGGCACAGGCCTGACACCCGGCCGTAGCACCAAGACCCTGTCAGCCACATGGCTGCTAGTATTGGAGGGTCTCCTGCAGAGGTGGGGGGTGGCTGTGGCTCACCGCAGGGATAAGTACACTGACAGCAGAAGTTCTGGAAAGTACTCCTTGGCATGAGCCCTCCCAGAGTCTCAATGTCTCTTACTCTTAAGAGGATTAGGATGAATTTATCTAAAGATAACTTGTAAAAGTGATATTTAACAAAGTTGCTATAAATGTTAACTGGTTGATTTTATATTCATCCACTTACCATTTATTGAGCATGTACTATGTGCCAACCACCGAGCCAGTGTTGGAAATAACAGTTCCTGATCTTAGGGAACTCATGCTCCAGTAGAGAAAGAGACACACAGAGATAGGCAGACATATGCTTTTAACTGTAAAGTGAGATAATTCTTTTTATAAGTGCAGGGAGAAACAGAGAAAAATCCCTAAATCTGCTTAGGGAATCAAGGATGCTTTTGCAGAAGAAGCAGCACCTAAGCTAAAATGAGTTTGCTAGAAGAATGAAGGGGTGGGTGCACCTTTGGGGGGTTGGGGCCTTGCATTCCAGGCCAAGGAAAAGGCCTATATAGAACCATGGAGACTCAAGAGGTTATGCTCAGCCTTCACTTTCCTAACTGAGAAACTGTACAGTAATTCAGTATTGCTTGAATATGTAGAATGGGAAAATGACGGGAAATGATGCAGGATAGTCCATTAGAGGCTTATCTAGACTTTATCAGGTCAGCCTTGCAGTCTGTTGGGAGAATATTGTCAGAGGAGGGACAATCAGATTGATGTGTGAGGCAGCTCACCCTCCAGCATCGTTTATGAGGCATGTTCATGAGGAAGGTAAGACTAGCTAGCATGGTTAACCTCTCTTGTTTTGCATGAGGAGACTGGGCACAGACCGAAATAACTTGCCCAAGGCGATGTGTTTAGTAAGTGGTAGAGCCAGGATTTAAGCCCAGTGTAGCAGCCTGACTCAGATCCTGAAATGTTAGCCAGTCTCCACTGAAAAGGTGAGAGGCAGCTGACGTAGGAAGAAGAGTGGTCGAGGGGTGAATGCAGGAGGGAGGAGTTTGGCAGACTTCCAGGGGTGCTTCTCTGCAGACTGGAAGTTGGTGTTACCTTCCAGTTGGTTTTTGGCATTTTACATTGTGTTACACTTTTTTCTTGATGGTTGTGGTGTTTCTCATTTAAGCTGCTATTATTATTAATTCACAGAAGAAAGTCCAGAATGTTGACCTAATTTTACAGAACAAGTTGTGTATCAGCCGATGAATGCATGAAAAGTTTTGGAGGCTTTCACAGTAGTTTTAAGGTAAGTTCAGTTGTTACAGTACTCAGTATTGTTCCTAGTAAACCATAATAAATTAGACTTTTTTAAATAAGCAGTTGAACTTCACCTTAAAAATACTGTGAGAGTCTTTAACAGCTACCTGCTTCCCAGATTTTTCTGTTTATCCCAAAACCCAGAGCTGGTCCGAAGTCCCAGATGTGTTTCCCAGGTGATCTCCAGTAAATGTCCTCCATGATGCATTATGAAGTTTTATCATTCCATTTTGAAGATGATAAAACTGAGTTTAATAGAGGTTAAGTGACTTTGCCCCAGGTTATGTAAGGGCCAGAACTTGGATTATGATCCCGAAGTCTAGACTCTGTGTGCTACATCACACTGCTTCCCCAAGGAGAAGGGAGGTTCTCATGTGAGGGAAGGGTGGGCTTCCCTAGCAGCAGAGTTACTGTGCTATACAGTAGTGCTCTGGAGTTTCTGTATCAGAAAGAGCATTGTGCCTAATAATCTTAATTAGTATATCCTAATACCAGTTATTTAGAAGGCATTTTAGAATTTCTAGTGCATTAACTATTTCCATTAAAAAAATTAGGCCTGTTTTCCACTGGTGTTGACTCTGTCCAATGTGTAAGTCATGCCAATGGGGAGTTAAGCAGGAATGAAAGCGCCACAGCCATTATCAGCAATAAACCCTTCCAGTACAAGTTCCAGTTGACCTTCAGTCTCTTGATTCAGTTGATACTCATGATGTGGGAGAATGTTTTTAAATTGGATTATGTAATGGGTCTAAAATGTTAGCACTGGAAGCCTGTAGAGATCATCTAGCCTGGCCAACCTGAGGACCCAGAGAGATGGAACTAAGGTCATGTAGCTACTTCATGACCACAAGAATAAGATCCACCCTCTTCTTCATGGTGATTCATCTACTAGTTTGTATGTCTTTCGTTCTTCATGAATTAGGGCTCTTATACTCAAATGATATGGGGACATTGCTTTTAGTTTCAGAGCTTCATTATTTTAGGGAATAATAGGAACCTTTTGGGATTGGAGAGAAGATGAACTTATTCCAGCTAATTTGCTGATTGTTTTAATAAGCCCATTGAAAAATTGGGAGGTTATTATTTTTAAACTACTAAAGGATACCAACATTGGGAAGTTTATTGGTATCTTTATTGAAAAACAACTAAGAAACCGATTTTTGATCATGTAGCATATAGAGAATAAATGTAAAGGATTTTTACTTTTGAAATTCTTTTAATTTTGCAAACTAGTTTAAAATGTGGTCTTTCAAAGTAATTTTGTTTGACTCTATGCATTAAAAAATATTAAATATATAACATTAATTTTTAGTGAACAATAGACTGACATAATCCTAGCTTTTAGCTGTCAATTTGAAGGAAAGAAATCTAAAAATAAATGTTAAAACATTAAGAAAAGTGCCCCTGAAGAGAATGTACAAAATTGTTTCCTAATCTGGGATCAGTAGAATGTTATAAAATCTGAAAACACATTGTAGTTTTGGTACTACCTAATGAGTCTTCAAGCCCTCTTCCAAGCTTCACATTCATACTTACATTTACGGCTTACTTAGAAGGAGTGAGATGTTGTACCAATGTCTTGTCCTCCTCAAAGAGCAGCTAAAAGGGGCATAAAAATGTGGCATCATTAGAAAGGCCCTTGCCAACGCCTGATGACTCACCTGGAGGGCCAGTCGCCTTGCTTTTGCCCAACTGGCCTACCACAGCCCATTGCTGCCAAGGAAAGCCTACTTATAGGGTTTGCCTCCTGAAATTTGACTTAATACCCAGAAGCTTCAAGTAGTTTTGCTTTAGAGTAACTAGCTATGATCTGAGAGCAAAATGAGATTATTTAGGTTATCTTATGTGACTGTTAGAGAAGGGGGACAATGGGTATACCATTGGGTGAGATAAGATAAAATCTGTGATGTTGAGCTGCTCAGGGTATTTGCTGTATTATCTCAAACTGCCTGTATTTTAGGGATGGGTGAGAGTAACTGTGCTTGGAATAGAAAAGCCCTCCTGCACCGAGACACAATGCTGGCGGCTGCAGCAGTGTACAGAGGTAAGGGAGCTGACCGTTCTTCCCAGCCAGGTCCCACTGACCAACTTGTGCCCTGTCATCTTTATCCCCTAAAATTACGTTTTCCTTTCCTGTTAGGGCACCATCAGATTTCTTGTCCTTCCTTTCAAAACGCAGATCCTGTGGCTACGTATCCTTTTTCCCAGCAGCCCTTACTATTTCCTTACTGTCAGCTTCTCGGTGTGGAGGATTTTTCACAAGAGGCATTCTCAGAATCCCATGAGTATTCTAATATTCATTTCTCTTTGGAAGACATGACTTTCATTGAGCAGATTTATTTTTCCTACTTGCATTCTTTTCAGACTCTAACCATGATTTGTCTTTATAGAAATGTACGGAAATGAGGATGGTTCTGTACCTGCCACCTATCAGATCTATTACATGATAGGATGGAAATATCATGATTCACAGGTAATATTACTAAGACAGATCAATTTTTTTCTTAGTGGGTTCATGTTTCCATTTACTAATTACTGTTTATTTATTTAGGGTGGTTTGTTTTTTTTTAAATATAAGACAGCATTAAGAGGGTTAATTAGGGCTATGGTATTTATCAGTTTCTAATATCTTTAATCTTTATCATTATTTTCAGGCAAGACCAGCTAAAAGAGGTTCGGCAACTGTGTCATTTGGAGAGCTAGGAAAAATAAATGATCTTATGTCCCAGGGGAAAAAATCACAATAAATATTTTATTCAATGTTAACATAGTCCAGACTTTTCATCAGTGATGGGTCTTTCACATCTAAAATTATTGCATTTTGAAACAAGAAGCAATATATAAGCTATTTACTGTCAGACTTTTCTAATAATTAGAATAGCCTAATACTCTTCTATATTTAGTAACAATTTCAGTTTCACATGTTTTCTGTTTTCATATGGATACTGTTATCTAGTAATTTGAGTGCCTTATTTACAAAGTCAGCCCAAAAGCAAGAAGATATTTCTATGAAAAATCCACAAATATATTAACATACGTAAATTCCTGACTTGTTGGAAAAACATTACCCATGCTGACATTTTGTACCTTTTTCTCCTTCTGATCTTGTGTTATTTCTGTGAGAGGACGTTAGCTGTGGAGATGAGGAGAATGACAAGTTGGTAGATTCTTTCGTGTTCTGGCTCATTTAGAATAAAAATGTAGTCTTTTATAACAACTATTCTAAGATACTTAAGCCAGAATTATTTGTGATACTGTCTTCTTTGCTATGTTCCTCTTTGAAGAGGAACAGAGGATTATGAACCTCTCTAGAGCTCTTAAGTAGTTTTGTACTTTGGAAGAGTGTTTACCTTTACTGAATCCTTCCTCACCTTTTTTTTTTTAAAAAACCATCAGAATTATAATCTTATTTCTTTCTCACCACCATGATCTGGGTGAGACCCCTATCATTTTATATACTACCTTAGTTAAGAGGAGAACATTTTAAAGAATTACAGAGGCAAAATTACATGTAAGGTATCTGCACAGTGATGAAAAGTGCTGTTTGCTTGATTTCCCTTTGTTGTTTGAGGTCTTTGGCAATATTATTCTAATCCAGGTCCACTGTCCCGTTGTCATGATCAAAATGAATTGGAACCAGTCAAGCTCAGACAGTGTAGAATAGATGGAAGAAGATGGTGATAAGGCAGCCAGGAGGAAGCTGGGAAGCACCCAAGAGTGAGGACGAGTGTGTTCACCAGTCAGTGCCGAGCCATTTGCTGTCCTTTTCATTTAATGCACATGGCCCTGCCTCCTCCTCAGCCCTAGGGGAGTTACTGTAGGATTTGCTTCTCTCTGTGTGTCTCCCACCTGCCTTCCCTCCCTCTGCCACACGAGCACCAAGCTCTCCCTGAGTCCAGGGCTATGCCTTACGTGGTAGATATTCAGCTCCATTTTGAATCAAATTAAATTATGTGGAAAATGTACCCTTACATAGGCTAAGTTACAGTTAAAAACCAGAATTTTGTAGGAGAAAAAGAAATTACTGTTCTTGCTCTCTTCAGTTAGGACATTCATTGATATCAGAAATTGGGATATTCTTTGTGGCTTTTTTGTTTTTAATACAAAGGAAAAGAATACCTAGGCAGCAGAATTTGGGGAAGGTTTTTTTTAGCTTAATTTTCCGACTTGAAAGGAAAGGAAAACAAAAAACTCCTACATATTAAAGTGTGAACTGATGCCTAAGGAAAGGACATATTCCACGGTGTCTGTGTTTCCTAAATGACCGGCGTTTATAGGTATTGATATTTGTTTTTGAAGAATGCATGCAGCATTGTTAAGTGGTTATTGCTGAGGACAGGGACTGAGGAACCAGATGTCTCTGCACCTGTCCCAGTGTCTGAATGTCTGTCGGGGGTACAGGAGATGGGCAGAAGCTAGGAGGGAGGGTTGTACTTTGACTTTTTAATCTTTCTGTAAAATTTGAAGTTTCTTACCAAGGATATTAACTTTCATTTATTTCATGCCAACAGAGAATATGTGGGTGGTGGGGTGAAGCTGGGGAGGAATCTACCTTGAGCAATCTCAAAAACAAGGTCCATTGGTTTAAAAAAAAAAAGAGGAATTAACCCAATGAATTGAGAACACTTATTGTTTAACCTGAGTGACAGTAGTAAAATTATTTATTTTAATGTGAGTGACAGTAGTAAAATTATTTCTTTTAGTTAATATCTGCTTGAAGTACCTATTAAGCTTTAATTGTTTGGAACCTTCAGGAAATTTATTTTTCTGAATAGCTGTGTTTTCCAAATGATTAGGGACTCATCCTTTTAAGCCACAAAATTTTAAAAAATATTTCCAAAATGTGTTACATTTTAAACAGTGTATAGAACATAACCATTTCTTTATAAGTCAACAGTTATTATCACAACTTTTTTTCTTTATAGCTTTATAACTTTATAACTTGACAGTTACTATCACAGCTTGTACTGCATTGCTTGTTCCTACACTGACTGGCCCCGAGAATGAGGTGGTTTGTCTCTTTTCCTTCATTTTTCTTACTTGCTGTCAATCTCAATGGCCTTACAGAAACGAACTTTCTTGAGTCAGTTCTTCTTGCCCCTTTGTGATGTGTAAGATTAGAACTCAGATTGGAAGGTTTCTAGGTCGGGGTTTAAGGTAGGAAAGAGGGAGGAGGTTCTGCGAGAAGGACTCTTGGAGTAAAATGCATGGGCTTTATTGGTTCCCTTAACAAGTCCCCATCGAGACCCATGTGCCGGGCTCCCGACTTTTCTCTGCGCTCTTAGTCGTCAGTCTAACATGGCTTCAGGCGGTGGACCTGGGACATCTGCTGGCTGCTGGGATACATTTTGGATTATTTCCTGGTTGTTAGCAGTATTCCAGGTTGTTGGCCTAGAGAACAGAGGTGGCAGTATTCATGAAAACTTACATTTTTAAAACAAAGAATTTCTTCAGGATTTGTTGAGATGGAAGCTACCCATAGATACCAAGTTTGTGATATGAATGTAAAAAGTTACAGCTACAGAAAGGTATACTTCCTGAAGTAGCTATGAAGCAAGTTTTGTTTTCCAAACCCTTTTAGTACCATTTTTATCCACTAGGTGGAAACAATTACAGTATGGCCTATATTGAAGATATAGTTTTTATAACTCAGTGTATATACCTTAAGTAAGGATGAAAAAAAAGTATTTAACCATGGATTGGCATCTGTGTAGGAAAGAAACATTAAAAGACATTTGGGGAAAAGAAGAATACTTGGCATAGTGATTATTTTATTCCTTTGTAAATGATTATTTTAGCCTCTCTTGCCTAAGAAGAAAGTTTTGAGGGTTTTTTTTAGAGGGGGGCTCGAGGTGGGGTGGTTGTTATTGCTGCTGTTAATAATGTGAAGTTTATCTTCAGGAAACTAATAAGCGGACCTGCCCTTCCAGAAATTGGGGTACTTTAATTCTCTGCCTGGATACTTGACAGGTATTTATCTCTCTGGATTAAAAAAACAAATTTGAAGAAAGCGGAAGGTACTGTTGTTAACAAATAGGGAAATAATGCTTTGGCGTCTGTGGTGGTTTTAAAATCTATCCACAGATTCTTTGATACTCTTTTCTCCAAGAGGTGGAGCTTCATTCCCCTCCCTGTGAGTCTGGGCTGAATTCAGTGATTCGCTTCCAACAAATAGAATATGGAAGTGATGGTGTGTCCCTTCTGAGGAGGTAGTAAGAGGCCCACTTCCTCCTCGCTGTGTCTGAGATCACAACCTCAGGGAGAGCCAGCGCCGTTCGTGGAGGGCATCAAGCAGTGCTTTGGAGAGGACGGCACAGACCTGCCAGCGAGGGAGCCAACCCGGGGGAGATCTTCCAACCCCAGTGTGACTTTCAGGTGACACCTTGACGGCAGTCTCATGACAGACCATGAGCCAGAGCCACCTAGCTAAGCCACTCCACGTTCCTGGCCCACAGAAACTGAGATAATAAATGTCTGTTGTTTAAGCCACTGTGTTTGGAGTAATATGTTAACACAGCCTTAGATAACTAATATGCTCACTTTGGGAAAAGTTAGGTGCCCAGGGTATGCCAAGTTGTTCCTTGAAGTATAGAACATATTCTGCTTACTTGAAATTGTATAAAGTCAGCATAAACTACCATATTACCTTTGTTCTCGGGGAAAACTGGGCCCGAGATATGCTTACCTTGAGGTTTGAGTCCATGGTATCTCGAAGTAGAACTAACCTCCCAAGGTACATTTAGTAGGCTTCAATTTCATTTCCTAGGAATACATACGAGGATCAATTTTCAAGAAACCTGATGGGGCGAGTCCATAATGAAACCCGGGAACGTGAGAAGGAAGGCTCTGACCTTGAGAGTTCAGTGAGGTAACAGTGGCTGTGGTTTTCTCAGTCAGTCACTCCTGCCTCAGCTGTTGAGTTGCTGACAGCTTGTTATCAGGATGGACTGTTGATGCTGCGTGCTTGTTCCAGGCTCTCAGGTGAGCACAGCGCTGTGGAAATGGTTAAGGGTTTTTAAAAGCCAGAGTCGATCCTGTCTTGGTCCTGCAGGCCATTGTCAAAACCAGGCAAAGATAAACTGCCTGCACTTTCAAGTCCGGCTGTAATCCTGCCGGTTCCCAGACTCCTCGTACAGGAGTCTCGTGCGTGTGCTCAGGACAGCCAGCACTCGTGTCAGAGCCAGCCCTGCAGAAGAACCGTCCGGGACAGCTCCAGGTCACAGTGGTAGGAGCCTGGGTTGAGACTGGGAGTAGGAGACGGCGGGGAGGAGAATCCCAAAGGAGGACTTGGCAGCCCTTGCCAAAACCCCAGAAGTAGAGGGAAGGGCAGGGACTGGGGGTCAGGGGGTCTGGGTTTAGTCCTGGCCCTACTGGTTCCTGACACGTGGGCCGTCACCATCTCTCTGACCTCAGGATTTTCATCTGTAAAATTGCAGGTTTTGTACTCAAATCTCAAAAGAGGCCACAGGCCTGCCTTCCAAGAAAGTTCCTGAGGGCCTTTTTCAAACGAAATGTTTTTCCACCCTCCACCCATTGGTTGAGAGTCAAGGCCACCTGGAGCCCCTGTCACTGAGGGGAGCATGAGACATCCCTCCTCTACGTTACGGTGGGAAATGGCTGTGAGCCATCGAGGAGGATGATTTCAGAAGCATTCAGCTCAACCCAAGGATCTGGGTCCCAAGACAGAAGTAGCCAGGATTGCCCTCCCATCCTTGCAGTTTCTCAGTCTCCATGTTGACATCTGGGGACTTCTTTTCCCTTCAGTGTTAACTTTAGATTTCATCTGAAGCCAGCTAAGCTTCTCAGCAAAAGCAGCTTCACTTACCCTGTACCAAGGTGCCGCGGGTTGGCCAAGCGCTCCTTTTAAAACGATGTGTATTATGCTCCTGCCAGGCAGTGTGCTGAGCCTCTGATAAGCATTCTCAATTCTCATTTCATCAGCACAGCTCCCTATCGAGTAGATACTAGTTCTACACTGTCCCCATCTTGCAGATGAAGAAACAAGTTCACAGAGGTTGTGACTTCTCCAAGGTCACATACACGGCAGAGCCAATATGTGACTTCAGTCTTGTATGGGACAAAGCACTTAATTTTATCACGCTGCCTTCTTTTGGAGGCCAGAGCCTTCTGTGTGAGAGACCACTCTTTTCACCATGTCTCCACTCCCCCCCATAAACATACATCCCAACCAGCATATTGGAACCAGGCAGGTGACCCCATCCTCTAACACATGCTCAGCCCTGTGCTGGGATCTGTCCCTGTGGAGCCGCCTGCCCTCCAAACTCTTCCAGGTCCCTTCCACTCTCAGCTCAGTTGGTTATCCAGCTCAACTTAATCTTGCCTTCTTGTCCCAGGCCATCCTGAACTTTTGTGAGTTCCATCTCCGTTAGCACTTTATACGATGTTTTCTGTCCATAAGTTCTGCCTTTCAGCTAAGTGTTCAACCCCTTGAGCAGTGCTATTGCTATAACCAGCGTTCTGTCAGCCGCAGAGATGGCCCAGACGGACTCGCTGCCAGGCAGACAACGGGGATCCCTGCGAGCCCATCAAGGAGCGGGATGCTGGAAAGACAGGCAGTGGGTACCGGACACATTCAGCTTCAAATTCCAGGGATCAGCCACTTGGTTGGGATTCCAGGCTAAGCTCTTATCCCGGTGGAATCTGGGTATCATGCACAGCACATGGACACGGATAGCAAGGGGCAGGGGGACTGGAAACAGGGAGGAAACAGGGAAGGGCTTCGTCCTGGAGAATAAGATTAGAACCGTGATGTGAGGTCACATCAAGGCCTACATCAGAGATGACTGGGCCTTATATTGTGGGATGATAGGTCTCCAGGCCAGGCAAGATGTCCAGCTGTCATTAGATACCAGGGTGGCCCGGTAGCGTGATCAGCATGACTTATGAAATCAGACCTGCCTGTTGAATCCCCTTTCTACCACTAACCAGCTTACCTTTTGTAAGTCACTCAACTGCTGACATGCGCCATTCCTAGACGCATTAGTACATTGCCCAGCAGAGCGTAAATGCCCTTTCCGAAGGCTTGGAAAGCCAAGCTCATAAGATGACTTACATGTCCGGTGCAGTAGCCCTCAGATTACAGAGTGCTGTTAGTAGGTGCTACAAAAGAAGGTAGCGGTTAGAGCAGGGGGAGAGGAAGAGTTTCCGGAGCTAAATATGGTTGGAAAAGCTGGGTCAAACAAAATTAAATGGATATATCCTATAAGACTTCTCAGAATCTTTAATGTGCTCATGTTGTTGTGACTCTCCCAGAGGAGTCTATATTTTATGGCATCTTCCAGACTTAATGACCCAATAACCCTTTTATCAAGGAGCACCCTGAAAGACTTTGAACATGTTTGGGGAAACATTAGCCTAGCACAATGCCTGGCATTGTGAAGGCTTGTTAAATAATTTGAATGGTTGCAGGAAAACTTAACATTCAGTTATCTTGCAAAAGTTGTTTATGAACTTTCTCAAGGCAATCCAGTGCAGTGGTTAAAAGCTCGACTCTGGACCTGGTCCTCCTGGCTGTGTGGCCTTGGACAAGTTACTTGACCTCAGCTTCCTCTTCTGGATAAGAGGGAAGATGATACAGTATCCTCCTGGGAAGGTAGTTGTAAAGCTCTAATGAGTTAATAATACATTCGGTTAGAACAGTGCCTGGCACATTATAAGCATGATATGTTAGCTATTATTTTCCTAGATAGAATGAATTTTAGAGAAGCTTTCAAGAACAAATTATTGGCTGCTGTTGTGATGCTAGCTTACCATTTGTCCTACATAAAATCCCTCTTGCTCACACAAGAAGATTGATTAATAAACAGATGCCACTTAGAGTCACTATTCCATTTTAAAAAAATAAGTCATAGGACCTCAGACAGCTGTTTTGCCTCTATGGCAAAATCCTAATCTCAAATATAAGAGATTTGCTCTAATATTCTATTAGGCGAAGATTGAATATTCTTTTTTTCCAGAGGCACTTTATCTTTACCTAGAAATTATTTTCTGATTAATAAAACACAAATTAGGATAACTCATTTCACACAAGCACACACCACAAAAAATGTTTCCATATCAAAACACAGGTACCAATGCTGGATGAAATTAATTAGGTGGCGGGAAAAAAAGGAACAAAAGCTAAGAATTGAAATAATCTCACAGCCTAAAAAGTAATTCTATTCTTGCCACACATGGGAAGATTTTAAGGCGTTTTTCTGTTATAGATCTTAATGTTATACCTGAGAGGCTGGATTGGAATTATAAAACTTTTGAGGTGTAAGACATCAGAGAAATCTTTCTTATTTTGCAGCTGAGGAATCTGAGTCCCACAGAGAGACTGATATGGCTGAGGTCATTAGCTGGTTCTGGAGGACAGGCCTGGAACATAGATGTTCCAGAGTCTTGTCCAGCGCCCTGCAGCAGGCCTGATGGCACTCATGCAACCCCAGCAGAGCTGAGGCCAGGTCTTCGGTACTGAGTCTTTTGCAAAACCCAGAGTCACCCCCTTACGCCGAATTTGTTTAGAGCACATTTCAGTGTTGCGGGTTACAGTAGACCTCGACCTGGGCTCTGTTGCCTGGCTCCCACCCCCAGAGATTCTGATAGCTGAGTGCTATCAACTCAGCTGTCCGCATTTGGCATCGGGAGTTTTAAAAGGTATAGAGCCTGTTCCAGAGCATCCGTTTTCCTGAGGAGAGAAAACTGTATGAATCACAGATAAACTCCATTTTAACCTCCCTTGCGTTGTAGTTGGGAACTCTGAAGGACCAGCTGCTGTGCTAGTTATAAAAACATGAGTCATTGTGCACTTCGTGACGAGCTTGTGTTGAGAAGAGGGTGGGTTGGACCAGGTTGGATGTGAGGAAGGTGGGTGTGGGCAAGTTGGTCATCCAGTGCTAATTGAGCACCTACTATATCTGAGGCCCTGGATACCTAGAGATGAGAAGGCCTAGCCACCACTCTCACAGGGCTCGCAGCTGGGCTGGCTGGACACCACGGGGAAGCTGACACGGTGTATTTCCTTGCAACCAAAAGTACTCTGATTGAGACACTTATGTGAAGGCTCTGTGCAAAATAGTGCACGGTGACCAGTGGTCAGTCACCGCAAAGCCGCCCAGGTGCGGGCAGGTGTATAGTCCATGCGCCGCGGTGGTGAGAGCTGCTACAGTGGAGGCTCTGGAGCAGAGGCCCAGAAACAGACGTTTGAATGATTCAAACACCCTAAACCAACCACTTGCTCTTTCAAAGCCTGTGGCTCACGTTTACTTGGAACAACGAGCTGAAACAGGAAATTGATGAGCTCACGCTGCCCTTGCTCCTGTATTTCAGGCAGTGTTCTACTCTACATAGCAAGCCGCAGAGTCTCTCTTTCCACCCCGCCTGCAGCTATTTTCACAAGCTTTACCTCCTAGGAGCTCATCTTTCACCCAGTCTTGGAACCGGGGCTCCCCTTCCACGCTCCCCTCTTTGCACTTATCCCGTC